AAGCCTCGCCGGCGCGAGAAAGCGCCTCCTGAGGAGTGTGGTCAGCCGGCGGGAGACACGGTGAAGAAACAGCACGGTCCGAAACGGAAGCCCCTCCTCCGACGCCGCAGTGTTCCCAGCTTCCCGCCAGACAGGTTTCCGTGCGGACGGGGTTGGAGCCTCAGCACGTCGTCTGCGAATTGGGACATTCGAAAACCCAGGCAAATACGGGAATATTGAGTTTGACATGCGGAATTAAAAGAAAAAAGTAGTCCAAGGTTGAGCATTCATTCCAGAGAAAACAAATATTGTGTTCTCGAAAGAACTGGAAAACGAAAGAAAATGATATGGCCCAGAGGTGTTTCTCCACGGCTTTGAAAACGGGCAGGTGCTGCTAATGACACGATTGTCTAAGCCATTCAGTGATGGTAATAACAGCCCTTTGTGCGTCACTGTATAAAGTCAGGTGCGTCCGTCTTGATTTTAATTCACTGAGGACACCGAAATCTGTTAAGGCCAAATAGTTTACCTAAAATTCTAAACTAGCATTACAACAATCCAGACCTGTTTTTGGTTCTTCACGTTCAACTAAGTATAAAATTCATGGTACCAAGGTACAAAATAACTTCTGTTTCTGAGAGTTCTTTTTCTACCTTAAACGGGCTATGTTTGATTATTTCATAAAAGGATGGAAATGAGTTGCAAAAATAAGTTTCCCCAAAGTGTATGAAGTCATTCTTCCAAAATACAAATTTAACTTTAAAAATTAAGTTCTCAGCCGGGCTCGGTGGCTCGGCCTGTAATCCCGGGCCTTTGGGAGGCTGAGGTGAGTGGATGGCCTGAGCCCGCGGGTTCGAGACCCGCCTGGGCAGCGAGACCTCATCTCTACAATAAATCAAAACATCAGCCGGGCGTGGTAGCGCATGCCTGTAATTCCGGCTACTCGGAAGGCGGAGGCGGGAGGATCGCCGGAGGCCAGCAGGTCGAGGCTGCGGTGGCCGGAGCGGCCGCTGCACTCCAGTCTGGGCGACGGAGTGAGACTCCAACTCAAAAAAAAAAAAAAAATTAAGTTATCTATTTATAGTGTTGTGGGTTTTTTAAATTAAAAATGCTGTTTGAGAAATTTACTATGTTATTTTTGTTTTGAAGTAGAATTTTACCTTATTGTCTCAAATTGTTTTACAAAATAAAGATCCTTATAAGGTGAAGCAATCGTGTTGCAATTTAATTTTAGGACATGACAGAAGGACAATCTTAAACACAAAATTCACTGGACAAGCTTTTTTTAAAGGACTCCAGAATGCAGTTACTTCAGGCAAAAGTGTTATGCCTGAGTTAAGTATAATATGCTGATAAATATATTAAATAATACATTGGTAAATATCAGGGTAGTGTTCAACTTCTTTGTACATCCTAGGGTAGCTACAGAAGTGATGATGTTTGGCCATCGTTGTGATCACTACAATCCCACATTAAGAAGTATGTTGGTTGAGAGGGAGAGGCGAGAGGATTGCCTGAGTCAAGGGGTTGAGGCCAGCCTGAGTAACTTGATGAGCCCTATCTCTACAAAAAAAATTAGCCGGGCTTGATGGCACACACCTGTGATTCCAGCTACTTGGAAGGTTGAGGTAGAAGGATCACCTGAGCTCAGCAGGTCACGCCACAGCAATCCGGCCTGGGCAACAAAGTGCAACTCCTACTCAAAAAAAAAAAAAGAAAAAAGAAAAAAAATGTTGGCAGAGAGTAGAATGATGGCTGTCAGGGCTTGGAGAAAGGAAGAAATGGGGAGATGATGGTCAAAGGTTACAGAGTTTAAATTATGCAAAATGTATGTTCTAGAGAGCTAAGGTACAGCAAGATGACTATAGTTAAGAAAATTGTTGTGTACCTAAAATTCACTAAGAGGGTAGATTTTATGTGTTCTCACAAAAAGAGAGAGAGAGAGAATAGTAAATGTGAGAAGTGATGAATATATTAATTAGATTGCTGTGATAATTGTTGTGCAATGTATACTGCTTTAATTTTAATGTTTGCCCTCTCTAAAACTCATTTTGTATTTTAGTCTCCAGTGTGGCAGTATTGAGAGGAGAAACAGCCGGGCTCGGTGGCTCAGCTAGTAATCCCACACCTTGGGAGGCTGGGGTGAGTGGATTGCCTGAGTCTGCGGGTTCGAGACCCGCCTGGGCAACTTGGCGAGACCTCATCTCTACAATAAATCAAAAATTAGCCGGGCGTGGTAGTGTGCACCTGTAGTTCCAGCTAATCGGAAGGCTGAGGCGGAAGGATCACCGGAGCCCAGCGGGTCCAGGCTGCCGTGGCCGGAGCGGCCACTGCACTCCAGTCTGGGCGACAGAGTGAGACTCCAACTCGAAAATAAAAAAAAAGAGGAGAAACCTTTAAGAGGTCATGAGGAGGCCCAAGTATGAATGAGTGGACTTATATTTTATCATGGGAGTAGAACTGCTGGCTTTATAAGAAGAGGAAGAGATTCCGAGCTAGCATGCTCAGTGCTCAGCCCTCTTGCCACATTATGTCCTGCACCACTTCGGGACAATGCAGAGCTCCCACCAGCAAGAAAGCTCTCACCAGAAGTGGCCTTTTGACCTTGTACTTCTCAGCCTCCGTTACTGTAAGAAATAAATTTGATTCTTTATAAATTACCCAGTTTCAGGTATTCTGTTATAAGCAACAGAAAACTGGTTAAGACCTACACACACATTAAAATATCAAGTTATGCCGGGCTCGGTGGCTCAGCCTGTAATCCTGCACCTTTGGGAGGCTGAGGTGAGTGGATTGCTGAGCCCACGGGCTCAAGACCCTCCTGGGCAGCGAGACCTCATCTCTACAATAAATCAAAAAATCAGCCGGGCGTGGTGGCGCTTGCCTGTAATTCTGGCTACTCGGAACGCTGAGGCAGAAGGATCGCCGGAGACCAGCAGGCCGAGGCTGCTGTGGCCAGGAGCGGCCACTGTACTCCAGTCTGGGCGACAGAGTGAGACTCCGACTCAAAA